ATTATATTAACGTGTCTTCACTCGACAATTCTCTTTTTATGTTAAACACTTTTTGTTCCACTTTTGTCCACATCCATCGGACTTTCGGGCTTGTAAATTTGTGTAAGTAGAACCGGAGGAGACTGTTGTAAGTAATTTCTGCATGAAACAAATAATATTTTAAATCAGTACAATGATGTTTCAAAAAAGGATTTAGGTGCTCTAAAAAATTTTGAGGAAGATATAAGATTATTGAAAAACTAGCAGGCTAAATTTTGTGAATTAAGCATAGGGCTGTGCCGATATTAAATATCGGATCGGGTCAGCACCGATATTTAGCGTTTTCCAAAAATATAGGATCGGGTAGATACCTGTGAAAATCCGATCCGATCCTATCTTTTTACTTTTCATTTTTTTTGTTATTTTATGTTATGTATATTTATTTTACATTATTATAATATTTTCTAAATAATTTTTTTTAAATGCAATGCACAACACCCTCTAAATTTTATTTCTTTTTAAAATAGATTTATAGTATTTTAAAAGTTTTTTTTTATAAAAATAGAAAGGAACACCCAAAGTTTTATTTATTTTTCTTTTTAAATAATAACGCCAATTTTATTATTTATACTTTAAATAAAAGAATTTTTTTTAATATGGTATCTGAATTATGAAATATCTTACAAAAGACAAAGATAATTTTGAAAAATGCGTTATCTGCGGAATCATCTGAGTCTGCCTTCAGTACGGCAGGGTATATAGATAGTCCATATTGTACAAGTTTATTGCCAGAAAATCTAGAGGCTCTCATATTTATTAAAAACAAATCTAATATTATAGTTTTATATATTAAATATTACAATTTTATAATTCATACCAACATAAAATGGATATATTATTAAATTTATATTTTTTAATTAGTCTTAATTGTAGAAATAAATTAAATGCATAATTCGATTTTTTACATAAAAAATATTGATTTCTTAATTACATTTGGTTCAATGGGGGATGATGAAAAATCAGTATAAATATCGGATCGGTTTTGAAGCAATATCGGATCGGATCGGTGAAAATATGTGGATCGGCACCGCTCTAATTAAGAAGATTACCGTTTTCTTGGTTAGAAGAAATAGATAAGGAACTCGACAAATAGCTAAAAAAAGGAATAATAAGATTAATACTTCATAGCGTCGGGGCGACACCTCCCCATAAAAAACCAGATAATAGCTTGAGATTATCCATAGACTAGGTTATCTGCCCTTGGAAAATAAAGTAAAATATCCTTTACCAAGAATAGAGCAATTATTGACTAATTTAAAAGGAGTGACATTTTTTTCGAAAATGGATTTTTCTAATGCTTATTTACAAATTAAGGTGAATGAGAAGCAAAACTACTAATACAACTCATAGAGGGTTGTTTGTATTGTGCCGATTGTTTTTTGGGTTGAAAGTATCTGCCCCAATTTTTCAAAGAACGATGGCTGCTATGTTCCAAGGATTAAATGGAATCATGTATTTTTTTAGATGATTGTTTTGATATCAGTTGGAATAGAACAGGAGCATAATTCGAGATTAGTTATAAGTGTTATTTTTTAGAAATGGTCTGAGAGCTAATATAAAAAAAAGTGCTTCTACCTCTAATATTTTTAGCGATTTTAAGATTAGAATTTAAAATTTTTGTTTTAAGATATAATGCTGTTAGTTTTTATGTGTTATTTTTTTCAAATCATTTTTTAGTGTTTTTTAAATTTCGAAAATCGTATTTTATTGGAAATATGCTTAATCATGTGCAGGATATTTACTAGAGGTCTGCAATGCACGGATTTTTAGTCCGCTCGCCCATTTCTACAGATGAGTTAAAATATTATAGACATTGAGTGGATGAGCGGGTGTGTTAAAATATATTTTTAAGACAATGGGCTGATGAATTTGAAATATTATAAAAAATAATACATATCATATAAATTTAAGTGAAAGTACATTGAACTAAATCAATCAATAAAATAATTTGTAAACATTGGACTGGCGGGTTAAACAAAATAATTGTTAGATTACTAGGCGAGCTTGAAGCTATGGGCCGACGGGCGAGCTGGTTAGAAATTTTAAACATTGGTGGGGAACTTTCTGGCTAAAACCTGCCTATTTCAGACCTCTAATACATATGATTTTTTAAATCTTTGAACTATTTTTAATTTACATTGACTTTTCCATAGATTTTTATATAAATAAAAGTTAACGCCAACATTATCTGAAATTCATAGGGTAAGTACTCTATGTTGGCATACATTTTTAATAAATTCAAAATTTTGAAAAATTAATAGACGCACTCAAGATTTAAAGTTTAAAATATGACATATTTTAGAGGGGGAAAATACATTTGACGATAATAGAAAATCATAACTAAATGAGAGGAAGAAGCAAATGTGAAGCTTTGTCCTCATTTTAGGCATTTGATTCATTCAAAAAATCCTTTATTTCTACTAATTGAAGAATATTTTTTCAATGATGGGAGGGCAAAAGCCATAATTAATAAGATTTATAGTAAATCATATTGAATTCGAATTTTATTCTTTATTTTGCCCATGTAATGTTAAGTCAGCAGGCGAGAAGCATCAAAAGTGGAAATATGTTTTCTTCTTTTCTATGATTTTATTTTGAAATTTGTGGACAGGATTTTGGAAATTTAGTTGATTTAAATTTCCAAAATGTAATCCAAGCCAGATTTTTGCGCATTTTAGCACCCCAAGTTTACATCAGGAGCATAAATATTTTCAAGGACAAATTAGTTAGTAAATACTATAATATTTTCAATAAAAAATTGGCACTCCCGACTAAATTTTAACGTAACACAAAGAATGTTATTCAAATATTCACTAAATTTTAACGTAACACAAAAATATTATTCAAATATTCATTCTAAATTTTAACGTAACACATAAATATTATTCAAATATTCATATGATTTATCAAAACAATAACAATTGTTGGCTACAATTACAAATAGGAGGCAGGATATGATATAAACATTTTAATTTATTAAATAGTGATTTGATAAAAACGATTTTGTTTTTCCTATAAAAATAATAAAAAATAGTTAATTTTATCATAGTTAAATTTATTTGATATAAATCTAATATCATAAAATGATTGAAAGTGATTCTATTATTTTGGATACTTGCGATGTAAAAGTGAGGCCCTGCATATCCATGAACTCAGATGCCAAAATTTATGCTTCAAGGAATAACCTTCAAAGTTTAATTGTCAGGAAAATACTTAATCAATGGCTTCATGATGGAATCAATCCATTATTTTATCATAAAACTCAGTTAAATGGTGCGAGAATTAAGGATAAAGATAATATTGAAGAACGTTATCACATTTTAGATATTGGATGTGGTGATGGAGCATCGACTATGCTTATCCATGATACCATACTAAATAGCAAAAATGGATTGAAAGGAACAACTGTTGGATTAGATGTTCTGCCTGAGATGATTGCTCATGCAAATGAAAAATTAACAATAAAAATAAAAGATGATGAAGGAAACAATAATGATTTGAGTTTCAAAGTAGGAAATATTTTAAATATAGATGAACTTCCTGAAGAATGGTTCCATGCATTTGATTTAGTTTTGTCATTTAATTGCATGCATTGGATGGAAGATCAAATACAAGCCCTATCAAATATCGCTAAATTCTTAAAACCAAATGGAGTTTTTATATCAGTTTTAATTGGTGAACGTACAGAGGTTATGATCAATTCTTTGGATAAAGTATTAGATATACAAAAAACAATTAATAACAATCAAGAGGATATCAGTGATGGTAAACTCAATAAGATCAAACCAACAATAACACAAGAAATTAGAATAATGTATAAAAAGATTGGTACATATCTTGAGGAATTGTCAAAATTAGATTCGATGCTTTATTTCCCATGGAAAAGACCACATATGTTAACTGAAAATCCAGTCAAAACCTATGAAGAGTACATGAAGAAAGCTGGTTTTATAAATACAAAAATTATTCCAATCAACAAAATAAGATTTATATGTCTACCCTCAATGGAATACATGAATAAAGTCCACATGTCTTTTTTTCCCAACCTGGATAAAATAATAGATTTTAAATTAAAAGAAGAGTTTATTGAACTATTTAACTCATTTTGTTTTGAGTTTAATAAAAACAACCATGATAATGAATTAAATCATTTAAGCCCTGAACATTATATAATTGGTCATTTTTAAAATAGAATGTTAGAATATTATATAATAATTAAAATTATATTTATAATATATATATATGTTAAGTTTTTAATAAAAACAACCATAACAATTAATTGAATCGTTTAAACCCTGAACATTACATAATCAGCTATTTTTAAATTAACTTAATGAGCTAAGGCTGAACTAAGCCCAATAAAACATGTTAAGGCGCTGACGGTTCTTATATAAATAACTTTTTTTTGTATTTCCTATGATTTTCCATTATTTTCATATTTTACCCAAATTCAATACAAAGTAAATGATAAGCCCATCCTACTTTATTTTTTTAATACTATTTTTTTTTCATTAGCCTTGTTTCGCTTATTGTTAGCTGATTTATTTCTTTATCCTTTTTTTTGTTCGGAGTTCTTATTTCAGGAAAATTGGAAAATTAATTATTTTTTCGTAGTGTAAAAGAAATGATTCATTGGTTTAAGGAATATATTAGTATATGAAATTATGGGTTAAGATGAATTAAATGAAAGACGGAATAATGTAAAAATGAGATTTAGTGATGATTATAGGTATGAAGTAATGATCTATCATATTATTTGGCGGTTTTGATTTTTGAGCCCAGATTATAAGGTGAGGATGTTTAAATAAATTTAACCATTAATAACGAGCCTATTATGAGAAAGAAATAAATATGGCTCCAAATTCAAGAATAGGTTAAAAACTTTCTTTCTTGAAATAATTTGAATAAGAGTTTTAAAAAGGTATATGTAGAGCATAATTTTAAATGTTTCTTAATACTAGGCATGCATGGATCCATTATATGACTGATCAAGCCCCTAAATCAAATGATCCAAAGTATGATTGGATGGAACCTTATCAGCAAAATATGACTGGCACACATCATAAATATGTTCCTTTCAGTACTATGCCAAAGAAAATTTTCTCTTGGGATCCTAATCAAAACAAAAAACTACCTTAATCAAATATTAAGATTTTTAGTAAATATATTTATAAATTGAGAATTTAATTACACGATGTCTTTGGAATATTATTGAAAAATATTTTTCAAAGGTCAATTGTATTGCCTTTATTATATTAAAAACAGCGTGATATATAAATCTATAAAATAATATTTAAAAAAGAATAAATAAATTAAAAGGCAACATGAGAGGGATGGGGGGCAAAAATAAGGACTCTTATTGAGATCCAAAGTAGTTACCTCGAAATACAGCCATTTGAGTTTATTGTAACATTTTAAAAGCGGATTCATGATCATAATTTGAGAGATTTTTTTACCCAAAATTTAAAAAAAAATGATATCCTAGGGACCCATAGGTAGATTTAACTATTGGGAAGTGAAAATCAGAAAAGTTGTGATTTATAATTTTTGACCTTGTAATACGGATCATTGTTTAGGTTAGACGAATATTGGAAGGCACAAGTGAAATCCCAAATAAGATGTTTTCCTCTAAATCAAGGAATGTTTATGAGCTCATCTGGTCTTTTCCCATCCAATAGGGATAAATGGAAGGGTTCCAGAAGGTTAGGGTAGATGACCAACCATAATTTAAGATTTTAGTTAATAGCCCTATGTCGACTGAACCTACCTTTCGAATATAAACATCGGATGGGCGAGATTGGCACTAGGGTAATTCCATGACAAATCGACCAGTGATTCGGCCGACCATCTCAAAAATGAATGAAACTTAACATGTTAGTTATTTATGTTGCAAATGTTAATAAAATCCAAATTTTAGAGCCCCAGCTCAACCAGATCCAAAGATATACGCCTTCAAAGTAGAGAATCGCGTAATGCGTGATTTCTTATATCTTGTTTTTCTTAAAAAATACTTAAGATAGAATTACAAATAATATATCACTTTATGCCCTTAAAATTTTACATTGGAAAATATTGAAAAAAAGTTAAAAAATTTTAAGTGTTTTTGTATATCCGATAAAAATAAAAAATTAACATTCCTGGGAAGGGATTTTTTTTGGTGTTGATACTCTCTAAAAATGTTTATTACCTTTATATTAAACTATTTAATGAAAAATCTTTATAGCCATTTTTGTTTTTTTAATTTTATTAAAATTTTTATTATTTTTGTAAATAAAAAAGGATAATATAGATGGCGTTATATTAAATTTATTAATAATATATTATATTTAATAATAATATATTTTATATCGTTATTAAAATCAAAAGAAATCGATTTAGTATAACCAGTATGATGTCCTGGGGCAATAAATGAGGAAGCGGCCCATATAAAGATACTTTAAAATTATATTCAAGCTATTATAAAAATATATCTATTTATCGCAATCCATTTTGCGCTTAAATAAAAATTCTTGAGGCCGTAATTTGTATATATTTCACACTTCTGGATCTACTATCGTTATTATTTGAAATTAAAGATTTTATCATCTTATTTTATTTTTCATTCCTTTCTTTCTATTAAATTTTTATATCGATAAATAGGAAATTTAATAATCAATCATGATTAAAAAGAACATTAGGATTAAAAAAATTATTCTTTTTTTACTTAAAATTTTTTTTTAAATTTAAAAAATTGTAATAATGAAATCATTGTGTAGTAATCCATTCATTAGAGAAGGCCATAAGTCTATTTCAAAAAATCTACAAAAGGTAAGTTTATTTATATTATGGATTAAAACCTTTTTAATTTTAGATTCTGGATTTTTTACTAATATAATATCTTTTTTATTATTGGATATCGTGATTATTTTTATTATATATAAAATTAGGTTACACCAAAGATGATTAAAAAATCCAAAGGTTAATTAACAATAGGCCAATCATTATGTCACTCATGTCGCTTATATTTGATAAATATGGAATCCATTGAGGATATATCTGAAAATGAAGAGCCCGAAACCATCCAGTTCAACTTTGGATATAATAAATGTATCGCTAGAAGAAATAGGCCAATCCCCAATAAAAAAGAAAAGAATAGGAGAAAAGAAATATCTGCAAAAAAAAATAACAAAAGCATTAAGTCAAAACATATTAAGAAGCAGCCTTCCTGAGTTTGATATACAAAATAATAAAAATGACGAACTTCTTCAAAATTTAAAACATCATTATCCAATTATTTCTAAGGAAAAAAAATATCAACTTCTTACTATATTGCCCCCTTCTTGGACCTCTAAAAAAATTGAGATGGAGTTCAAAGCCACGAATTACTTGATAAGAAAATCAAAAAAACTAATAGAATTAAAAGGATTTATGTCATCTCCCAATATAAAACCTGGGCGAACAATTGATCAGGAAACCGTGAATATTATTGAAAATTTTTACTCTTCTGATGAAGTCAGTCGCGCGATGCCCGGGAAAAAAGACTATAAATCCATAATGATCAAGGGGAAAAGAGAGCAGTTTCAAAAAAGATTAATTTTAAACAATTTAAAAGAATTATATGAACGATTTAAAGAGAGGTACCCGATAATTAAAGTTGGATTTTCTAAATTTGCAGATTTACGGCCAAAAAATTGTATTCTGACTGGAGCCAGTGGAACACACAGTGTATGTGTTTGTGTAATTCATCAAAACTTTAAGCTTATGTTTGTAGATTATAATTTGGCAAAACTATTAGCTATGCCAGAATATCCATTACATAACTATAAAAATATTTTAGCTCAAACAATATGCAATCCAGCACTCCCTATTTGTTATTTAGGAGATTGTAACTATTGTCCAGGCACATTCTCAATTAAAAAACAATTAGATGTTCTATTTGCTCAAAATGACATAGATCATATATCCTTTAAACAGTGCGTGTCTGTTGATAGAAGTAATCTGGAAACAATAACAAAATCTTCTCAAGAATTTTTAATTTTTTTTAGAAAAAATTCCACCTATGTTACGTCATTCCTTTATCGCTACCAATCAGTCATCATATATTTCAAAACTTAAACATTTTTTACAACAAAATGAATTTGTGATTTCTCTGAAAATTATGCCTTTGTAATCCAAGACTCTGTTCAAGGATTTCACTGGAATAATAATCAGGCCACTATCCATCCTATGATAGCATATTATAATAACAATATAGAAAACCTTAATTATGTGGTAATATCAGAGTCACTTCAACATGATGTTATTGCAGTACATTTATACCAGACTGAAATGATAAAATTTTTGACCAATCATTTTAACAAAAAGCCATGTAAAATCTATTACTGCTCGACGGATCGGCTGCTCAATATAAAAACAGAAAAAATTTCATAAATCTGTGTTATCATGAATCAGATTTTGGTGTAGCAGCTGAATGGCATTTTTCAGCTACATCTCATGGAAAAGGTCCATGTGACGGCTGGCGGAACATTAAAAAGATTAGCAGCACGTTCAAGCCTTCAGCGCACCAGTTCTGGACACATTTTAACACCATTTGATTTATATCAGTTTGCAAAACAAAATATGCCATCAGTAAATTTTACGTATATAACCAACGAACAATACAATTTAGAAGAGATTAAACTACAGAAAGATTCAATTTAGCTCGTCCCATTCCAAGAACTCGGAAAATACATGCTATTTTTCCTTTGATTTTAAGTAAATTTAAATCAAAAATATATTCATATGCAAAGGACTTTCAAATTAATAATATCTCAAATGCCGATTTGTCTTTTGCCGATAATTTGTGTTTTGCTGATATTAAAGGATTCGTAACATGTGTTTATGACGATTTTTGGTGGTTAGCCACAGTACTGAAAAAGAATGAAAATACTGAGGAGATATATATTTCCTTTTTACATGCCCATGGACCATCACCATCCTTTTATCCCACAATTGAGGAAAAGATATGGTTGCCCATGAATCAAATAATAACGATAGTAGATCCTATAACAGTGACAGGACGTACCTATAAATTATCGCTTCAGGAAATTCTATTAATAAGTGCAAAATGGGATAAGATTAAAACAAGAGGTATTTTATTTTATAATTGTTTGTATATGAAATTTTGATTTGGAGTCACTTTATCACGCGACTCTTTTATATGCGACACTTTATCACGACGACACTTTATCACTCAGTCATTTGATAACGCGACACTTTATCACGCGACATTTTATCATGATATACTTAAAACTTAATTTAATATAATTGAAAAGTTAAATTTTGATAATATCTCATTTTTTGACTTTTCCGTCTAAATTCCAATATTTAAAAAATTTAAATTAATTTTTTTTATTGAGAAAAACTCATATTTTAATTTACATAAATATAATTTTTTTTAACTTAATTATCATCTTATATAGGGAAACAGGAGACAAGCAATAATTTCCTATTTATACTTTTTATTAATAAGTAACTATAAATCAATATATCACGAGTAAAAAATATAAATTATTTATAATATATTTAATTGCACGAAATATGGGCAATAGCTTTTAAAAATATTAAAGAATCCGACAATCCGTAATTTGAAACACAAATTTGAATTCGTCTTTTTATATCTTCATATTTCTTTGATAAGTACGGTGTTGTTCCCATCACGACTTGAAGATATAGAGCTTATGTTTCTGCATATCTTTTTGTATCCCATCTAAAAATTTCCATAGTGTTGGATGAGAACATTGGTATAGGGATTGAATTCCATAGTGCCACCCTTCAACACAATTTGTTGTTCGGGTGACACCTTCTAACGTGGAATTGTGTTTATTCCATAGTCTTACATTATATAAAGGCGCTGCAAAGTTATTTCGTTGCCCTATAAATATAAAAATTTATAATAAAAAAAATATTTTTTTACTGGGATTTCTACGTCCTCGGATATAGGTCTTCTCAAAGTAGGAAATTAGCTCAGATGAGCCATTCAATTCACCAAATATTTCTGCCAAAGTATCAAATGAGTTTCCAACATCATCCTCTGGGACATATGCAAGAGCCGATAAACACCTACTATACAATCGAAAGTCGTCATTCGACTCATACATCTCTTTTAATCCCAAATCGTTTATTTTTCTATTAACGCTCTCATTTAGATGAAAATAACATCCAAGGATATCTGCGAGTGGATACCCAGCTCTAAACGCATTTATCGGTGCCTGTTCGAAATCCACCAATATTTTCCTCGGATGCGTCCCTGGTAGTAATTGTTTCAGCTCCTATAATAAAATTTAAATTACATCTCTTAAAATATATAATATGATTACTTTTATCATCCTTGCATATGTATGCGCCGTTTTATTTGGTAATAAGCAATATATACCAACAGGATTCGCGCCCGGTGCAATTTGAAAGTGGATGGTATATAAAGTTGGAAGAATATTTCAGGTAAAATTTTAAAGGTACCATCACATATCCATATATCCGATCTTGATAATCCTTCGAGTAGTTCGTCCGTGCTCAACATTATAAATCTTAAATTATCATCTGGCCCAGACTCGTATTTGAGCATATCCCTGTAACATTCCGGATATAAGAAAGTGAGATCCTTAGGGATAGGAGGCAATATAATGGTAGAGATCGATTTTTTATGCCTTTGTAAGGATCGATAAAGGGCAGACTTATTTGGCATAACCATCAAGGTATTATTATCATAATTTAACAATGTTGTTGCATGGACCAAAGAAGGACTAGAATATTCACTTAATTTGGATTTCATTTCTGATATTGCTTTTCCTACATAAGATTTTGAAATGTTACCCTCATGAGTATGATCAAGAGGACCTTTTAAGATATCATTCAATTTTGTTGTAATAAAAGAATGGCATTTTAGAGATTTATATTTGGCGCATGTCCAGCATATTGATTCATTTTTATTTGTCCTAAATTTAGTATATTCGTAATTTTGATATAAAAGGGTAGGTTTATTTTTCGATGTAAATCCTAATTCAAACATTATAATTAATAAAAAAAAAATTCTTTAATATATAATAATATAGAAAATTGAGGTATATATAGAAAAAAAAATATTATTATATTTATGGGTAAATACAAAACC